TGGACCTTGGGCGTACCTAGTGCAGAGAGCTCCCGCTCTGTGCGGGGTCTGGGGAAGGGTGTCAGTGGCAAGCCTTACCCTCGCTTGTGCAATGCGAGGAGACCGCGACTCGAACCCAGGACCTTCCGATCACAGGCGGTAAGACTCTACCGCTTGCACCAGGCCCGCCCTTCCTACTGGACCTTCTAAAGATATTTTAGATTAGTGTTCCATACCCCATAATGATGCTCGGTTTGCATTTAGCTGATCTGAGAGTATGCTCTTTAACCTTACCAAGATAGATAGTTAGGTTTATGCGAAGATAGTTAACCAACACAGTAAATATACCTGCAATATACTTGCATTTTACTTTATTCCAATATCGGATCCTGCTCATGATATATTGCCCCCACAAAAAGCCCTTCATGATTGGAAGCTACGTAGAAAGAAATAGCTTATCTGCTACATTGGCTACTTGCTGAAACCGACAGGGCAGTTAATCTGAATATGGTAGTGTTTGGTGAATTTGTGGTATCACCACCATTTTCTTGGTCCACAATTTCAAAACATTACTATAAGTAGGATTGTGTAGTAAAATTACTCTGCCACTCTTGTATTTGCAGGTGAAAGGTGTATCTTTCTTCTAGGACTAGTGTAGCACATTGTAGTCTGGGTTAGGGTGTGGTCCACACTTTCTATTTCAAGCAATCACATGTTCGTAAAGGAAAATTACTAAATATCATTAGGTCATGTAAGAACAAGAAGTATAAAGGGGAAAGGGCTACCGATGTGAACTGCTAATGTGCGCAATAAAGGAGAAATAGCTAGCGATGTGAACTGCTAGTGTGCTGCACAAATTGCAAACTGCCAGTTTTTTTTCCTCTTAAGTTTGCAATCAGCTTTGAGCCTCTAAATGGTCATGCCAAAAAAAAAATCCTGGAAAGTATTATGACATAGTAGGACTTGTAGCAACTTTTACAATTTCAACTTCTGATTGAAACTGTGTTAAAAGAAAACTATAATTAGCAACTCCTATCATTTTGTGGAAATTTCCTCATTTTGACATAGTTGGAACGCGAACATGAATTCCTGTACATTATTGGTAGGGCAAATTGAGAAGCAGACCAGAACTTCTTCTGATGATTCAGTGCTCAATGTATGCATTGTACTGTACACAATATATTCTGAATGTAAAGTAGCTAAATCTATATGCCTCGTCTCCGTTGTTTAACTTCTGTTCTGTATTACGAATGATTGAATTCATTACATAGTGAACTTATCCTGCGATCCTTGTAAACATGTGTCAGGTGTCGGACTGAATGACATGCATTGGTTTGGCTAGCGAGAAGAAGTTACATGGCTAGCTCCACTGAATCATGGAGACACCAGATGGATAACGGAGAGGCCGGAACTATAGAACAGATCATGTAATTTTCCTATTGAACTAGAGTCAGGGGATCCCTTGATAGGCTATTGAACTAGAGGAGAGGTGGGGGAGGGGATTTGCCTAATTAGAGACACTTTTGCAACTCCCACCCTCTCCTCCATGCTTACACTACATGAGAAATTAATTTGCATGAAGAGACTTAACTTACTGCGCACATGACATGAGAAAGTAAGAAAAGAGAACTGCAAATTAAGGCGATGTTTAGTTTCTCCTTCTAAACTTTAGTCGCTGTCCCATCGAATGTCTGGACATATGCATGGAATATTAAATATAGATTAATTGCACAGCTTGCGACTAATTTGTGAGACGAATCTTTTAAGCATAATCAGTCCATGATTTGACAATGTAGTGCTACCGTAAACATATGCTAATGATGGATTAATTAGGCTTAATAAATTCATCTCTTGTGGATACTGACGGATTTTGTAATTTGTTTTTTTATTAATATCAAACACCCTCACGTGGGATCCGAACACCCCCTAGCCATGTTTTCATTGCAAATTCGTCGTCGTGCTACTACTACTCGGTTAAGTATTCTTGTTTCAAATTAAGCATGTTTATGCGCTTCACTATCTTCGCCCGGTTTGAGAGTGAGTGAGAAACCAGGCGGCGTTGCCTTGTTTAATTCTTCCCTAAAGTTTTTACTCCTTGTCCCATCAAATATTTGATACGTGCATGGAGTATTAAATATAGATTAAAAATAACTAATTGCATAATTTGCGACTAATTTGTTTGACAAATCTTTTAAGCATAATTAGTTTATGATTTGACAATGTGATGCTACAGTAATATATGTGGTAATAATATATTAATTAGGCTTAATAAATTCATTTCGTGGATTACTGACGGATTTTGTAATTTATTTTTTTATTAGTATCCGAACATTACATACGACATATATATGTGACACTCGATATGACACCTTAAAATTTTACATTCTGAATTTAAATAAGTCAGGAAACTGGAGACATTAGGGCCATGGTGACATGACTCAAAAGGCAACAGTTTTCTAGAGCCGCCCTTGCCATCTCATCCCAGCACAGCAGGCAGCAGCAATTCGAAGTCGATGAGAAGAGTCCAAAAACAGTGGTGACAGGGGACATGGCGTGGACATTTCATTTCGTTTTCAGCACAGCAGGTATCTGCATGCTTCCAAAGGGAATTGGGAGAAGTTTGCACACTGTTGTATGTAGCGGCAGATGCTTCGCCCACGGGTAATTCGAAATCGATAGACAACGAGCTGCTTTGGGCGGTGGGCCGGCCCCTCGCCTCGCGTCAGCTACGCTAGCCTATCCTATTCCTATCCAATTATCCATGGTCGTGTACTCGTGTTCGTGTCACGACACCGACGGCGGAGCGTGTCAAAGAGCTCTGATTTATTAATTTAATGGACGGGGGTTTAATGATAGAATGATATGCCCTGGCCTGCAATTCAGAATTTTGGGCTACCTGATGAAATTGGTACTGTGATGATGCAACGTAAAACTGCGTGAAAAAAAGTTATCCAAAGTACGTCATATTTGCTCCCTCGGTCTCAAGAAAAAGGTGTAATTTTAAATATTGATATGTTTAGTTAAATTTATATAAAAATCATACTGAAAAAATACTATAAGATTCTCCATGAGACACCTATTTCAAGTCGTACAAGTTGATACTATTTTTAATAAACTTAAGTAAACATAAGATAATTTAACTTTAATCAGATCTAAAATTGTATTATTTTAGGACAGAAAAGAGGAGATTTAAAGTCATGCGACAATCAGTTAATTATATGCCGTGAGGTTTCAGAGTCATCTTTTCACCAAAGTATATTTGGTTTATAATAAAGTGATTTATTATTGTAACTCCTCCTGGTTAACAAACTCATTGTGGCTTACGAGGAGAATAAAAAACGCACGCCACGTAGTGACCCACTCCCAACGCAATTCCATCTCCGGAAAATTGGCTGTGTAGCGTGTAAAAGCGTGATCTCACTAAAATACCACTAAAAGATTGAACCGTAAATTGAGAGTAGTGTTCTGTTAAAATGAAGTCACGGGAGTGATGGAAGCCTCCGTCGCGTCCGTACGCGATGTTGTCACGGATGCTTGCCGCGAACAGGAACGTCTCCTGCGGCACCCCGCCACCACGTGCAGCGCGCCGCAGGTTGTGCTTACACACGTCCTTGCTAGATAGGACTATAGGAGCACGTGCCAGGACGTGAGCTTGTAGAACCGCTGCACCAGCGCTAGCAGGTTCCAGCGACCAGAAGCACATGTCCTTGTCGAGTTGAAGAAGCACACGTCCAGCAGCAGGTTCCGGCGGCCAGAAGCAGCGCATCGCCTTCGCCACCGCTGGACCATGGCCCTATCGGTGGCTTGGACGAGACCGACGAGGCACCGAGGATGACGCAGGTGCCGAGGGTGGAGCCGAAGTCGGCCTTCCACTTTAGGAGCACGCCATCGCTGCTACCCATTTCGATGTGGAGGGGCCGCGTTGAGCGAAGCACCTCGGGCGCGAGTGGTGGATCGGTGGAAGACGTCTGCGACGGCGCGGCGATGGCTTTCGGAGCACCAGAGATGCCCGCCGCGGCGAGGGAGATCTAGCCGAAGCGTGGCGATGCCACCACACCACCAGACGCTGCGATGTGCACGCAGACGCGCGCCAGCGCCACACTGGCCGAAACCCCCCGGCGGCGGCTAGCCCGGTATAGCGGAGGAGGAGGATGGCGGCGGGTCGTCGGGATGACGTAGTCGACGCAAACGAAGACAGAGTCGACGAGCAGCACGAGCGCGAGACGAGGGCGTAGCTGCCTAGCGCCTTGATGTCGCCGATGCGGTTGAGGATGTCCCGCTGCAGGGCCCTCCTCCTCCTCCATCCCACGTAGGTTACAGGCACACATCTCAGGATCGAGGAGAGGCATCAGCGCGAGGCAAGACTAGGCGGGGGAGAGCCGGGACGGCAAGGATGTGCACAAGCATGGGCGCTACGGCACGTGGTGTCGCAGGAGCCGTTTCTGTTCACAGCGAGCGTCCACGAGAAGAACTCGTAAGGGCACGACGGCGTGACGGAGGCTACTTTTTAGTTCCGTCACTTCTATCGCTTTATTTTAACGGAATGATATTTTCAGTTATGGTTTAATCTTTTGGTGATATTTTATGAGGACGTAAATTTTTGATAGTATTTTACGAATATCTTGATATTTTCGATAGTATTTTAAGAATATCTTTATTTCGATGCATACACAACCAATTTCCCTTCCATCTTCTCCTCCGACCGCCCAAGAAGAAACGAACCCGACAAGTTCCCCCAATCCGCCGAAACCTCCCAACATCCCAACGGAGCCCAGTGCCCACCCTGCCTCGCCGCGATCCCTCCTCGCTGCTGGAGGTCTCCTGCCCTGAACCAATCCAGAACGCCGACTTCGGCGGACGACGGGATCGTCCAACGCCGCCTGCCTCCGTCCCGCCGAATCCGCCGCCATCGTTGATGCGCCGGGGCCGCCGGGTCATCGAGATTCCGGCGTGAGGCGACGAGGTTCCCGACTGCCCCTTGCGCGCGTAGGAGGGATCGGAGGAGCGCCCGCCGGCCGGCCATGGCGTGCCGGGGCTTCTTCGAGTGCGTTCTCAAGCTGCTCAACCTCGTCGTCATGGCGGTCGGGCTGGCGATGGTGGGCTACGGCGCCTACCTGCTCGTGATGTGGCTGCAGGTCGCGCCGCTCCCGCCGCCCGCGCCGCCGTCGCCGTCGCCGGCGGCCGTGCCGCCCGGCGGCGGCGAGCTCGTACGGCTCGGGAGGCCCCTGCTGCTCTTTGTCGATGCGTCCCTGTCGGATGGGACCGCCGAGAGGCTCTCCAGTGCCTGGTGCGTGCGTGACGACTGATCTCCTCTGTTATGTCACCTTTCATGTGTTGATTGTGGCATCTGCGATTTATTATTTAGGAGACGCAGCGGACACTACCCACCAGTGTGTCGTTAGATCATTAGGTGCTTATAAGAACACTCGGCATGTTTATGTATAGATAAATGTGGATCTTGCAACTTAATAATAATTACTCAATTGCATGTAGTCGTGGCAAGAATCTTACAAAATCGTACAGTATGTGGGTACTGTATAGCCCAAGTACAGATCTTCCTTTCCTTTTCGGCATTTTCTGGTGGTATCCTTAGCTACTTTACTATATTGGGAATTTCTGCCATCATGGACATTTCCCCAATTTGTACTCTTTTATAACTATCCGAAATTGATATCCCGTAAAAAAAACTACCTGAAATTTATATACTGTATTCTTTTTAACTTCTGGAAATGATATATTATATGTTTTCAACTTTATAGATATAGAATTGATATACATCACAATCTTTAATTTTGCTTCTCATAGGAACACCCCAAACTTAATAAGATTACTACAGAAAGGATTATGTATTTTCGTACTATATGATCTCAGCATTACAATTGAAGCGCTGTATAATTGCAGTGATCATGTATGAAATTGCACCATTGATAGGATGTTTTGCTTTGTGTATCATCTTTTACATCTCTTTTTTTCATACTTTGTTTTAAATCTTCTGCAGGTTTATTTTTGCGTTCATTGGTGTCGGCGCTATACTCTTTATCACATCGATCTTTGGTTGTGCTGGAGCTAGAAATGGATGCTGCTTGTCAATTGTATCCTCATTAATTCTAGACTCATTTATGAACCTAATATCATGTGATGTGCTCATATCCAATTTGGTTTCTGTTATGTCTTGTCAATTATCAAGTGGTTGTGCTCAGTGGAGCAAGGAATCAGCCATAATAATCATTAATATGAATTCATATCCTCAGGGAACATTGAAGTATGGGAACATCGTTGTTCTATGTTCGACCGACATGACACACAAGATGCAACTAATGTTCAAAGGCTTGATTAATAATTAACTACAAAAAGGTTTCATGTGTACTTTGTAATGCTTTGCTGTTCCCTACTTGCTGATTTTGGTATAAGTCCCCCATTAGGTCATTAGCAACAACTTATTTTCTGTGGTCGCATACCATTCTTTCCTTGACATCTGGAATAGTACTCATTCCTCATTATTTTGTTCATACTGGTCGAACTTGGTGCAGGAGGCTTCATTTTCTTCAACCATAGTTGGAAAGAGGTGAGTACACTGTAGATCCTGTCTCTACTCTGTGGTGCATGATTTTTTTTTCTTATTGAATTTAATCTTGCATTGCAGGTCATCCCAGTTGACAAAACAGGAAACTTTGACATGATGTACAGCTTTTTGAAAGAGAATTGGAGAATTGCAAAATGGGTTGCACTTGGAGCTGTTATATTTGAGGTAAAAGCAAAGCCCTTGGAATGTTGGATGTAATTTGGTACATGCATTTAGGAGATCAAGCAATTTTGCTTATGTACTAAGTTTGTTTTACATACGAGCATTATACTCTAAACAAGGGAAACAATAATGTTAGCAGTAGAACAATTATGAACTGAAGCAGTAGAGAAAATTGGTTGGGATTTACAGCTCAGTACCTTGTTACTTTATCTAAATTTAGAGCCTTTTCGGGCAGTGGCGGAGCTAGAGCAAATCTGTGGAGGGTGTGTTTGCCTTGTGGGTGCGAGGATATATAATATCTGGGTGCAAATATGGTGAAAATTTGGCCATTTCTACTGTTTTTTAATTTTGACGTGGGTGCGGTCGCACCCACACTCATGACTATAGCTCCACCCATGTTTTCGGGTAAATCAATTTTACGAAGTTTATCAAAATATAACCTGGTGGTATATTTATTATGGGAGTGTACAGGATGGTCCCTATAAATATTTCATATCCTCTTTACGCTGCTTCTCTTATTCCATTCCTGCTTGCTTCACTTCAGGTGTTTTTGTTGTAGGTTACTAGGTTAAATTGTTAGGGACAAATAAAGTAAATTCCATGCTTTCTAACTTTTGCATATAGATTTTTGAGAATGTATCTTTTGGGTTATACTATTATGATTTTTAATCACTAGGCTTGTACAATGGGAGTGGTTTTTATCATAGTATAGGTATAGACCCTGGGCATCTGTCATGCCTCAAACATATACTAGGCAGTAGTAATGTTAGACAACTAGAATGGACCTGATTAGAACATATTTAGAAAGAGTTGAGGTTTCAGGTGAAACTGAATGAAATTTGCATACATTTGAGCTTCTGTGAAAAAAATAGTACCTGCTATGAAAAATTTCTAGCCTTAGCTTGTACGCATTTGTTTAGCATCGGTTAAATTGTTTCTTGTGTGCCCGTCAAGCTCTGATTTTTGCTTCATGGAACTGAAATATCATCACAGCATGCAATGTTTCACCAGCTAGAAGTAATAGCAGCAAACTGTTTGTTGTTCTTTATGCAGGCATTGTTGTTCACTGTAGCTATCATAGTACAGTCGGGCAATCAAGCTGATTATGACAGTGACGATGAGTACATCGGCGCAAGGTCTGGAATACGGCAGCCATTGGTGAATCAGCAAGCTACTACTGCTGATCCTAGGGTGCCCAATCTCGACTACCGCCCAATCCGGAATGACGCGTGGAGCCAAAGAATGAGAGAAAAGGTATGATGCCCTCTCGGGTATTGTAATTTTTATGGGGGTGGCTCATTTGTTTCTTTTGCTTACATGAACATCTTCTGTTGTGGCAGTATGGTGTGGATAGCTTTGATCCAAACAGGTTTCAACCGGCCACGATATCTCCTGCAGAACAAAGAAACCGATGCACGATTCTCTGAGGCTTGATTGATATCAGACAGTAGTGGTTCCAAGTACATCGAGTTGCAGAGAATATGTGCCTGATTGTGTAGCATATGGAGAGCTTCACATTCGCCTGTATCTGTTTTTTGGTTTACATAGTCCAAACTAGCACACCAATGCACAGGTGCAGGTGCCACATCCTTTAAGTTTTTCTAATAAGTATTGAACCTAGTTTGTGTTTTAGATAATGTTCCAATGTGAAGAAAACTTTTCCTGTTTAAGTGATGGTCACTACATGCACTATTTGCGAACCAGACATGTTTGTTACACAAAGCTTAAGGCCCTGTTCGGTAGGATTTATTGTTGCTGCGGCTGATTTGTAGGGTTGGTTTATTGTGAGAGAAAAATACTGTTCTCATAGCTGAAAAGTAGGATTGATTCTGGCTGATAAGCTCGAGGGAACGGGGCGAGCTTTCTTGTCGTGCATCATTGTGACAGCATATACGGATTGAAAAAGGCATCTGCTCCTCTGCTCCAAAAGAAGTGATGTGTTCCCCTGTCAAAGATCCACAAAAACTACTAGTCATCTTACAGATCAAGATCTGGCTATGGCCTATTAGCGTCTTGATCAACACTCCCTATTGTCTGCTGTCCAAAAGCTGGAAAGTGGTGTTGATACAGCGCTGCAAAGATTTAGAAATTAGGTTCAGGAAATCTAGGCGTTGTGCTGTCTGCTCCTCAACTGCTTACTCGACCGAACACCACCTATGACTCTGCCTTTATCATTGTGTGTTTGCCTTCTGAACTACAGTATTGCACAATTTTCTCTGAATTGTGACAGTCCGGGCATAGGTATTGCACTATTTTCTCTGAAATTGTGACGATCCGTACATAGCAATAACTGGATCACTGATCCTACACTGATAGGCATGGTCCGTCGACCTCTGCCTGCAGAGCTGAAACAAGCCACATGGCATATTTGCCTGCTGCTGCTAGTGCTAGGAGAGGGCCAAGCCTGCAATCATAGTCTGATAAAGAATCAGACAGAGAGTGTCCAGCCCAGCAGTCAATCAGGCATTCAGGCCTGTGCCACGGCAAGCAACAAATGCTTCTGTTGCGATGCACCCTCTGATCTCAACACTTTCATGTATGCCATGTTGAGAACGGTGTCGATGTTCCCCGGGGCTAGGGTCAGTTTATTGAGCTACTATGCACAGATTAGTTGTTCCTGACTCAAAACGTCTCAGCTGATGGGGTAAAGATGGGCAATTCACTTGTACTCAAAGATGCAAACAGGCTAGCGCGGTTTAGATCAATCAGCTCACGCACCACTTGCATCCCTACTTGTATTACCAATCAGCTCATGCACTAGTTTCTTAGTTAAACTCAAGAGAGACCATGCTGAATGCATTTTGGGAAAAAAGGTGTGTGTGTGGGGGGGGACAAGAAGGTTTGGATCCAAGTACAGTCAGAGAAACATTTCAGAAACAAAGAAAATACCATAGGTTTATATATGTCTCATTTGATTTTACAGACAAGTCGACGAGGTTGAGCCCTAGTTATTTCCAAAACTCTCATTTATTCGGCGGGTTCGCCAGATTCATCGAAGGAACGCAGAAGTGGATGGGGGAGAATGGAGATGAGGAGGAACAAAAAAAGAATTGCTTCAGGGAAGAACTCTATACATGTGCACTCAAAGCATCCTTTCAGAAGCTGCCTTCATAGGTGATCTCAGTATTTTCAGGGACACTATCAGCTGCTAGGCTTCTGCTCTGCACCAGGTGAAGCCTGAAGAGAGTGAAAATTGGTGGTTAATTTTAAATTCTCATGAGAAATACAAGTTGTTTTACCGTAAGAATAACAGTGAAATGATGTTAATCTTCTACAACATTATTGTTAAGTGCACCCTGATGGATGAATACTTACCCCAACTGATGTCACAAAATTGCAGACTGCGCATTTCACGGACCTAGCACCATACTGGTACATGAGCAGCATACGGCAGTTCCCGCAGTTTACATGCGCAACTTGATTTGCTGCAACGGGAAACAAGAAAACCGTTCGTCACTGGAAATGTTAAGAATGAGCTGAGCACTTATTTTCTGAACTCTGAACAATTATAGAATTTCTGAACGTGATGTGTTTTTTTTTTCTTTTGACAAAGTTCACAAGTTGATGAATGGGTCATGGGACTAAAATCCTTGTGAAACTTTCAGTAAATGCTTGGCACAGTAAAGTAGCTCTATGAGATATTCACTCAACTCCAGTGATTCTAGGATATCCCAGTCAACCTTTTCATCTTTCTGGATAATAACCAATTTCAATGACTTTGACTTCAAGATAGGCCAAGTCTATGATGTTAAAATGCTATTGGCAGATTGCAAGAGTTTCCAAACCGCACAATATATAGAAGTGGGATTTTTTTTTGTACAGGAATCAAAGCCACAGAATATACTTCTTCCAACTGAGAGGAAAAATAATATTGAAGCTTCATAGGTCTAATACCTTCCATAGCCAGGTTAACAGTGTGGCAGCAAGAACATTGTACACTAGTAGCACCACGTATGTACATCAGGAGAGTGTGGCATCCTCCGCAAACTAACTGTGCCATCTCAGTTCCTGCAGAAAATTCACATTTCAGGCCAACAACCAGTACTGCTACTGCACCAGAATTGCAATGCTTCAGAGGGCAAACAAACTTGTCCCCTTTGATCTCCCTGAACTATCATGAAACCTACAACTATAGATCTCTGTAGTGAATAAAAGCTCTCATCTCCTATGTGTATATATAGTTTGCAAGATGCAAAACTTTATGGATACAGCAAATGCTACTTCTTAGCTGGTTAAAAAGAACAGAAAGACGAAATGGACAATATGACACTAGTTCACGCACAAATGTGGCTCAATGTTCAGATGCCGTGTTACTTACTCGCAAATTCTTCAAACCGAAATGAAGGTAATTCATGTGTGTACCTGGAGCCGGCACGGAGGTGACGGTGCTGCAAACTGCACAGCAGACCGACGTCGCACCAGCTGGATACATGAGGAGATTCCGGCATCCGGTGCAGACAAGCTGGCTTTGCCCCCCTGAAAATTGCAGGACGGACAAAGGACACTTCGTGTATGAATTTTCTGCTACACAATAATCGAACCTCTGTTTCAAAAAGGCCCCTTTCATGCATTGCAACATCAAAGTCAGCAGATAAAGCTCCACAGTCCATTCCCACAGTTTTTGGGCAATTTGTTACATAAAAACATAAAAGTTTTACCAAGCAGAAGGAACTGCTGCATGCTCTGAACCAGAAACTGCAGGTTGTAGCCAAAATTAAGCAGCATCTGAACTGTATGATTAACACGCCTTGATAAAAAGAAACTAATTTTTTATATAACTTTCATACATCCCAGCATTTCTTGGTACCTAGCAACACTCCTTGCTTGCCAAAATTACCCTGTGCACATCTGAGGTGGTAACTGGGGGGCAAAAAAGATTTTACCATTGGGCGGCGTGAATGGCACCGGAGGAGTCGGATACGGGGCAAGGGGAACCGGCATTGCCGTGCCGGCTGCCTTATTCGATGACGCTGCTCGGGAAGGCCTCGCAGATTCCGGCGGCGTTCAGGCGGCAGAAACCAGCTGCTTTGCCCTGCATGAAACCCTGGAAAAAAAGTGCAGGAGATGCTGATGAAACAGAGCGAGAGAGGCTTCAGTTGCACTGAAATCCACAAATCTTGGAGAGAATGCACACAAGAGTACTTGGCTAGCAACAATCGACTTGAGGATTCCTTGGGAAACAGAAAAATCGATTCTCTGAATGCACGTCAGAATCAAATCTTTCAGGTTCAGGTTCCAATTTCTCCTCAAGTCGGGTGTCTCAGGTCTATTAACAAAACTGCAGAAAAAGAACTCTACTCCATAATCCCACCAGCTCAGCCAACAAGCTGTTTTCAAGGACCAAACCAACTTTTAAGAAATTTCGCTAGTTTGAAGAGATTAAACCTGGTACTAAGGATTTTGATGAACAGCCATATTCATGGAAACTGTTTGCCATTTTTGGTCTGATGCAATATGAGTAGACTGAGCTCAGGATAAGGCAGGGGGTTAAAAAACTCACAGCTAATCCAGTGGCCCAAAAGAACAAATAAATGCTTGCCATCTCACAGACAAAACAGGCAAAGAATCACCCACATGACCATAGCAAGGCCAATAATAACAAAAGAAAGCGAGAAAAAAGAAATCCCAAGATGTAGTTCCCAGCCAATCATCGAAGAAGAAGAGCAAGAGGGGGAAATAGAAAACAAAGAACAAGAGGGGAATCAACACCTAATAGCAATGCTTATGGCTGCTTCATGCACAAGAGCAGTTCTTGGGTTACCGCATCTCTCTCTGTCTTCCTCTCTCCTGTCTCCCTCCCTCCCTCTCTCTCTATGTGATATGGAGAGGTTCACAAATTTATAGGGAAGAAAAGAAGACAGTATATGATGGGTGGCCAAAAAGGTATCTAAAGCTTCTCTCGGCTTATTGGAACTTCTTTTTCTTTGTGCATAAATAAAATTTTGCGTCTGGATTTTTTCCAAGTGTTTTTTTTAATGTTACTCCATATATGTAACGTAAGATTTTTTATAAAATACTGAACATGGTGTATTTTTATATAAAAAAAGTGGAACTTAAATTTTCACAATCTCCGATTCATTGCTTCGTCATAGTGAAAACCACATAGACATACCAAAATGCACAAAAAAGAATATTTGTATTTTTATTTTCACACCAAATAAGGAGTTTGAAGATTAATTAAGTAACCAATCAATGCGCACACAGTAGTGTTCTACCCTAGACAATACAATGAGTCATCAATTTGGTTTCTCCAAGTATCCTAGTCACCGGTGATGCAGTGCTTTCCACAAAACTGGTACTAGATGGCGAAGCACTTAAGCATAGTTCAACTAATTTGAGTGTGACATCAAATCAGTTGATCCCATGTTCCAGCCCACAGTTTCATTATGACGATGACTAGGCAAAGAGAAAAACGATATGCAATTAG